ATAAGAGCCGCGGGCCGGGTTCAGAGCAGCCAATGGCGCGGCGGGGGAGGAGCTGGGGAGGGGGCTCGCCAGGCCGGGGAGGGGGCTCGGGGCCTCCGAGGGCTCCCGAGCCGCGACGCGCGAGCCATGGCGCTGGGGTTGCAGCGCGCAAGGTACTGGGGTTCAGGGGCAGGAATGATGAAAATGGGGGGGTTCTCTTTCTAGGAACCCCTGACCCGGGCGGGGGATGCTTGGGTGCAAGTCAAGGACGCCCCGGGACGGGCGTTTGGAGGCACGTCTCTGCCGCACCCTCCACTTTAGAGAGGTGTCAGGGGTGCAGGGTTTCCCCAAGTCCCCGGCTGCCCCACCTCCCTTGCCAGGAGCGACTGCAGAGTCGCGATCCTCGATTTCTCGCTGCTCCGGATTCGCTTCCCCTCCTGGTTGGGCATGAAACTCGGGGTCCCCAAGGAATTGGGAGTGTTGCGTTTGAGCTGCCCCTGGGCTTCTCGGGAGGCGTTCTCCCTCCACATGTTGACGTTGCTGCCGCTGGACCCCCAACGCTGAGGTTGTTCTTAGCCACCAGACCCCTGAGATCCTAAGAGCTGTGGGATACACCCAAGCCGAGTGTTCCCAGATACAGGGAGTCCCTTAGAACAGGGCGCCAGCTCCTGAGTCCAAGAGAAGAGAGATCCCCTTTCATCGGACCCTCTCTGGCACAGTCTCCCAAACTTGGGATCCCTAGAAATACTCAGAGGAAGTCACCTTTCCAAAGCTACCCACGACCCTCCCCAGGGGCCTTTCTGTATCCTTTTGAAAGGCAGGGAAGCCCCCTTCGTTACCAGGGGAACAGCCTCACCCACTTGCCAAAGTCTAGGACCTTATGTCTCTCTCCACTTCACCCAGTCCCTGTGACCATGGGCATGGGGGCACCAAGACTTTTGGGGGGAAGATCCCAAGGAGGGTGCTGTGTCTGATTTAGGAAGCCGTGATGGGTGCACCCTTGCTGCAGTGCCCAGCCAGTCATCCTGGGCAGAAGGAGGTTTCTGTGTTCAGCTCCCGGCAGGTGCAGATGTGTTGGGGCTTTGGGAGACTGTGCTCTGGGTCCGCTGCCAAGGGTTCTATCTGGCTATGTTTGCGCGGGGACCCCAGAAAGTGTCCCAGGCCCTTGGTTTCCCCTATCCAATCTGAGGCATCCAGGAAGCCTCACCCCCTCCCTCCTCCCTGGTTTCCCAGGTTTGACTGGATCCGTCCACACTCCCATGTTTTTC